AATCTTCACCCATGGAAAATACCACAGCCACAGCTATGACAAAAGGAGAGATAGGCAATAAAGCGCTTGACTAGCTGACTAAAAACAGCCCCACTTAACCTCGGCAATGAGTAAATTCCATTGCTATTTCTTACCCACTAAGCTATCAAAACAGGAAAGGCTTGCTTAGACATTTTTAATTTAAATTTGGCATTTATCATGGTGATGATATTGAGAGACAATTTCTGACCATATTTGCTCTGTTTATAAGAAAAACAGAAAGAAGTTCCCTAATTGTAAGAACATAAAGAGAAGCTGGTTTGGATCAGATCAAAATACACAAGACACATTTTATGCAGTTTCTCTGCAATCTCTTGAACTCTAGTACTCCTTTGTCATCCTACAATCTAACCACCTACCTAGCCAGTTTCTGATTCTGATATGAAAGGATGTTTCCCAACATTAAATTACTTTGGGGTTGATTATCATACACATACACATTCTGTGAAGTCTCCCTTTTTTATGCTTTTATTATAGCACTCTGCATTCTATGACATGGGGAGCGATTCCATGAAAAATATATCCTTCCAGGTTTCTGTTTGGCCAATTATACCTTCTCTTTAAACCATATATTCAACATCTTGACTTGAAGACTTTTAGCACAGAAATATATATAGTATCCCTCTCCAAGTGTCAGACATGTGAATTTACCCTGTTCCCTGTTTTAAAGATAAAAAGATCTTTAACTTTTTCAGATATGGACATGATCAGCATCTACAAAAGACCGGAAGCCGAAGCATTTGAAGAAAGAAGAAGAAAATGTGGAATGCAAGTATAATAAACGAGTACTCATCTATACACAATATATAATATGTTGGTGACTCCCAAACCTGCCCAACGCTCCATGTCATAAAGAAATATATTAAAAAGGTTGGGTAAGTATAGTCTTTCCTTTCTCTTTTTAATCAACAGCATTATTAAGCAAACAATAATTATTCCAACTACCATGTTCCAGTATTTCCACAACTGTCAAAACCTCACTTAAATGCAAATATAATTCACTTATGGTATTTCTTTTAAAATATTAGTCATATGGATAAAATATAAACTAGTGAGATTGGAAGCTATAATTTTATTTGTAATAGGTATGATGATCCAGCAATATATTGTATGATTGTGATTTTACTGTGGTTAGACTGGAATATTTATTTCTTTTTCAAATTTATATAGCCACCCATCTCATATATATTACTCTGGGCAGCTTAAAATTAAAACAAATATAACAGCAACAAAAAAGAACAACCCAACAATTTAAAAACAAGAAAACAACAACATAAAAGCCTATAAAAAACCATCATAAAACTGGTCATCCCATTCATGATAAAAGGTCAGAAGAGCCTTGGCAGGGCAGGGCTCCTTTCCACACCCAGGTGGGGCGGGCAGGCAGGCAGGAGACCTCCAAGAGGGGAACGCAAGACATGCTGCTCAATTTCTTGTATGTTTACTTAGAAATAAATGTTACCATGTTCAGTGACTTTCTTTCAATAAATCTGTACAAGGTTTGCAACTTTGAATTTGGGAAAGAAACCTCACATACTTTGATCAACGGATGTCAAAGTACGTATGTATGTAAACAAGACATCAAATAACCCAGCCAGGAAGGTACTCTTTGACTTGAGCACTTTTTCAAATGGCTCACATGCTATATCAAGCTGTAAACAACTCCAATGGCTCTGAGGCTATTCAGCCAATTTCAATGTTTGTTTAAATGCAAAATGAACCCCCAAAGCAAATTTAATGATTTGCAACAGCTGGAACTTTACACACAATGACACAAACTAGTGACAATAAAGGGCTAATTCTAATTAGTCACATACTCTCTTTCGAAAGCTTGTTTATGTTCTTACTGCACACCTAGCTCACTTTTGCACTGCCTTCAGAAGCACATGGGATCATCATTGGATGAAGTTTTCCCTACTTTTAGTTGCCTCTAGTGGAGTGGGATCCAGGGATCCTTTCTTTCAATATTAATATTTTTATTTGGCATGCGCTCATATCTAAGCACAGTACAGGTACTCCTCAGTTTACCACCATTTGTTCAGCAACTGTTTGAAGTTACGATGGTGCTGAATGGGGAGACTTATGGCTGGTCCTCAAAATTGCAGACATTGCAGCGTCCCTGAGGTCACATGATCACAATTTGGGCACTTGGCAACCAGCTCGCAATTACGATGGTCACAGCGTCCCACGGTCATGTGATCATTTGCGACCTTCACTGCCAGCTTCCAACAAGCAAAGTCAATGGGGAGGCCAGCAGGAGGTTGCAAATGGCGATCACATGATCACGGAATTCACCTAATGACTGCAACTGGAACTGCCAGCACTGCCACTGTAAGGCACAGTCACACGATGTTGCATTTTACAACCGCTTTGCATAGCAAAGGAGTTCCCAGTCCCAATTACCATCATTAATCAATTATGGCTACAGGTGACTACCTGTATAAGATCTGTTGATTTTTAAAGGCAGGAGCCAATCACTTCAGTGCTCAGCGTGCTGAGTTTTCTCAAGTCCTTTCTCTTTCCCCCCATCCTCCATAAAGAACAAATCACATGCTCTGACTGATTGATTCCCTGGAACCTCTAGGGTTTTTTTTTAATACTTTATTATTTTTAAATGTAAAGTCTGGGGTATACCACTAATCTTGTGACACTGGGGGGATTTCCATGATATGCTGTTTCCCTTGCTCTTTTTGCACTTTCTTTTAACTTTTTATGTCTTTCATTTTTTTAAAAAATGACATTCTAAGGCAGGGTTTCCCAAATTGTGAGGTATGTGAAGAACCTTTTAGTCACATTGTTACAATACATCCATGGTTCCCAAAGTTTCATTGTATTGTTTTCATTGTTTATTTGTGTTCATTTGGGTGTTTGGAATTTTAGGGGAGGTGCATACCTTAAGATCGCACTAAAGGAAGGTGTGATGGCAAAAGGTTTAGGAACCTCTGCAATGGAAGCAATTTTAAGTTGGCTATGAGATTATTAAAGAACCTCCAACCCTGATTATTCTTCCCACTTTTTTTTTCTTTTTCTAGTTTTAAATACATTTTTTCACTTATTTCTTTCAGACTACCTTTTCCTGTGCAATTAGTTGTTGGAAGAGCAGAAAGATTGCTACATGCATCCCATCCTCCCTTCCTCTTCCACTTTGCAGTCCTGATTTTGGAAAGGAAGATTAATGTTACCTGTTATAGTGAGCCAAAAGCAGCTCATTTGCATGGCATGGCATCGAAATAATAGTAGTCTCTTTCTTTCTCCAAAGTAAGAAAGAGATATACCCAGCCCCCAAATCCCTGAAATCTCCTTCTTCAATGCTTTTGACTTTGGCCATTTTGCTCTTGCAGCTTCTCTGTCCACAGTAATATCGATAAACAAAAATACAATACTTTGGCCCTTTCTGGATGGATGATGCAGTACAGGTAGTCCTCAGCTTACATCCATTCGTTCAGTGACTGTTCAAAGTTATGGTGGCGTTGAAAAAATGAACTTACAACCAGTCCTCGAAGTTCCGGCTGTGACAGTGTCCCCATGGTCACATGATCACATTCCAGGCGCTTGGGTGCCCAGCTCACAATTCTGATGTTGCAGCGAACCATGTCACATGTTCACCAATTGCCGGCTTCCCACAAGCAAAGTCAATGGGGAAGCTGGCAGGGAAGGTCTCAAGTTGCCCCAGTAAGTTGTTCCCACCACTTTTTCTCCCAAGGAGCTTGCTACAGAGTACAAGATCCCAGGGACTAGATACGTCACCTCTACAGTCATTTTGCCACTGCTCTGACAGTGGGGACTGGGCCCAATTAGCCTACTTCTGCACACTACAGAGTGAAACAGAACAGCAAAACAGCCAATGTTTTCTTTTATCCTAGTCTTTCTTTTTGAGGGTTCCACTATGCCTAATCCTGCCTGCTGCACTACCAGTGACAAAAAGATGCATGTTCACTGCAAAGAGTGAGGAGACAGAAGCAACCATCAGTCACTTCATTCTTGTTACAGAAGGTTTGGTTAAGCTGAAACCAAACAAACCACATTTTATTTAAGGTAATATGTGAATTCAACTGCAAAGAGAAACAGAAGCCAAACAATCGTGTAAAGGCAGTGGCTGTTCTTGCGCTAAACAACTGATCTCTCCTCAAACACTTTTTTTCTAGAAAGTACAGCAAGAAAAATGTTGGTGGAATAAGCTGAATCCATTTGACAGGGTTGCCAAAAGACACCAAATGAAAAGATAAAATGTCCTACGACTATCCCTCTGTGCTGTGTTGCTCACACACAGCAAGCATGTGGGTCAAGCTGTCTGTTCAGCAAAAGTTTAGGTAGTATTGTGGAACCAATCCTCTCTGCTGTGATAATGCAGGGAGAGGAGCACCCATGACTTTTCTTGCTCTCTTGAATGGCAAAGCGGAAGAAGCTGACCTTGGGAGCTTTCTCACTAGGGAAACTTGTTTATGACCTCTGCGTTCTTATTGTCTCTGTTAAAGAAATAAAGGAAAGCAGAAAGATGACTGCTTGCATCATTTCGCCCAACTGGCTGCTCTTCCTTCACCGCAGAAATTGCAGCGCTAAGCACGCTCTTTCAGACAGAGATTTAATTTGAATTTCAACTGGACTGCCTTAGACATTAGATTGTCTTTTTCCCTGCATGGGACTCGGGTGGAACAGAAAACGCTTTTGCTATCCTGGGGTCAAATTCCAGCACGATCGATCCATCTCCGCCTCGCACCCACACTTTCGGAGTTTCTTGACTCTGGCTCCGCCTACCATTGACCCCGCCTACTGTGACCCTTGGATCCGCCCACCAAAGGCTCTCCCTGCAGTTAGCTGCCCTGCCCTCCAACCCCCCGGCCGCCCCAACCCAACGGGCACGGGAATTAAGCCCCGCCGCTGGGACAGCAGCACGGAAGGGAGCAGGGCTTGAAAGTTCAGTCGCTGCGGAACCGCCGCCGCCGCCTCCAGCTCTTCCTAACCTCGGTTCCCCTGGGCCGCCGCCGCTCTCTTCCCGCTCCCCGCCTCGGTTTCTTCTTACCCGTCCTTGCGCCGCGCTTTGTAGACGTGCCCGTAGGTGCCTCGCCCGACTTTGCAGCCCTCGTACTCGAACAGATCCTCCACCCGTTCGCGCTCGGCCGCCAGCTTGGATTTGAACTCGTAGTCCATGTCTTTCACCCATGGAAGGAGCGACTAGAGAAGGAAGAGAGGGAGGCGGACAACGGTGTGCGGCGGCGGCGGCGGGACCGGCAGCATTCAGGCGCAGGGGCACGAGGCCACCATACTGGGCACCATTTCCTTGTTTTGGGTTTTTGGGGGTGGGGGGGAGTCCCCTCAGCCGCCACCCGCTTCAACCACGGCTTCCAAGAGTTAGAGTCGCAAGGGCTTCTGGGTCAGGTAGTAGTGATGGAGGCGCGAGTTCGCAGACGCTTGGGGGAGACTGGGAATGCCGGAACTACAAGGCCCAGTGCCGCTTGCAATAACTTAGCTAGCAAGCGCCTGCGCGTTGCAACGCGCTCCCTCGGTTATTGCTGAGTGGGTGCTGGGAAGTTGCTGACTCTTCACGTTGGGTGAACGAGTCGAGGATGGCTCAGTAGGGAAACCAGGAGGCGAACTTATTCACTTGACCTGCCACCAGCTGCCTTCTTCTGGAGGGAGAACTGGGCTACAGAGATCGGTTAATGGAGAGCCTCGCGCAGGGAGTTGTTTATCTCCCGAGCTGTCATTCAGGTTGAAGCCCTACCCTTCATTCCTTCGCTCGCTTCCATTGGTCAGAATTTGTCCCGCCTTTTCTTCCTCGACCAGTGAGGCGGCCTAGTCGCCGAAATTAAAATGCTGCTCTCTTAGTCTTTTAGTTGCAAGGGCGGAGCTTTGCACTGAACGTTGCGGGTAAGGACTCACTTGGCTGGAGCGGTTCGTTCCCTCCTTGCTCCGAGGCTTCGGGTTTCTCGCCCTTCCCCCGTCCTGAATACATTGATAATGGCTCTGGTCGCGTGATATCCACCGATGCTGCTCCAGCCTTGGCATAACGCGGGGCGAAAGAATAATGGTCGTAATGAACAAGGCAACAGCAGTTGCAACGTGCCATGAGATGGATGGCATTGTTCTACAGGTAATGTGTACAAAATGCCTCACCTTCCAGTGAAAATTTAGAGCCCTACACGGAAAGGAATTGGAGATACAGTCAAGTTCCTTTAGGTTTTATACCTGCTTGAATGAAAAACCTGATAGCTTCGAAACGGACTTAAGAGAAATTATGTTACAAGTATCTCATTTAATATCACCACTTCCTAATGTACCCAGAAGAATTTTCTTGCAATATTCAAAATACAAATATCAACAGTTTAATAAATAAATCAGAAGATTCGCTTAATATGTAAGTTTCCACCTATTCCGACAGGCTTCCTGATTCTTCAATAAAAGTAGCTTGAAAGAATGAAAGGGAGGGAAGCATCAAGCCTATTTAGTTTACAGATTTAAAAATGTTCAAAATGTCAAAAAGTGCTCACTTACAGAATAACATCTTATATTTTACATTTCATTGTAAATATTGAGGGGCTGTGGCAACATTTTCCATATGGGAATATGCTTAATTTGTTTTATTAATTACTTTTTTAAATGCTTATTTGTACTATGAACAAGTACTGTATGATCTGTATAATTATCTATAGTCAATAATGGGAATTTGTGAGGGTGGGATTACTTCTTTGATATTTCTGTAGCTTATCTGAGAATTAAAATTCCACGTCACCCAGGAAGTAAAATCAGAAGGAGCAAACCAATCCTAATTTGGGCTGCTGTATTTCTGGAAAGTACCAGTTTCCATTATGCTGGTCCATAGTTTTTAATCTTCTTAGTAATATGAGCTTGAAATTCAGGACAGATGCATTTGCAAACCCAGGTGTCCTTCCTACTGCTTTCTAATGGACTCCATGCTCATCAAAATACCTCACACTCTTATCAGTTGTTTACCAAGAGCCCTGACCATCAAAGAAACAGCCACCCAGAGTCAAGGATCTCTTTATTCAGAAGAACTCAGCAAACTTTTTTTCCCAATTACTTCTGCTGAGTTTTCCCCCCATCTCCCACTCCCAGTCCTTTAACTAGTCTCGGGGCTCCTGGAATCCATCCCTTCTTTTTTCAGAGAGCGTTCCTTGCTTGCAGAGTGCTTGCAGCCCTCCATTATCTTTGATGATCTCCCTGCCTAGGCAAACACCATGCTTCTGGACTTTTGTTTACTTTACCTGAGCCATTGTTAGAAGTCATGATTGGATGCCTGCTTTAAATCCACTTCCACTCTGGTTTGGTAACATCTCTCCATGGGCCCTGAGCAACTGAATTTGTTTCTGCTTTGAATTTAAATTTACATTGAAAGGCCAGTCCTATTCTTTCTTTTTTAATGTTACAAAGAGGAATAATGTACACTGATAGCATGTTTGCATAAACTACTGACCCACAATTTAACCAACTACATTTTAGCCTAGATTAATGTGAACCCAAGCTGTGTGATCAATTTATTCTTATAAAACAAAATGGATTGAGTAAATCATGGTTCAGTTAACTATGAGTAAGCCTGTCATGAAAATAAGAGCCGTCATATATTGTCGTTCGTCTAAACTCTTTTTTTGATGCTGATTCTATTTAGGCAAAGCTGCATCATCCACACCTTGTTTTTAGAAGTTAAAAACAAATACTGAGAAAGAAGTGGGGGTATAGACTAACTCGGAAAAACATGCTCACGGTCTCCAAGGAGTGCCAAGTGAAAGTTGAAAGTTACTGAAAATTTGGGGGTGCGGGTGATGATAGAACCTGGAAAACAGAGACCGGTTCATTTACTGACTAGTTAGAACCTGAAAAGGGGCTTTTCGCACTTCAACATTTTACACATTTATTCTCTTTCAAATGTTCAGGCATGGTGCCATTGCTTATGTAAAATGAAACCATGTTGCATAAGAAGATGCAAGCAAAATCAGGGCAATTTTGTAGTTTGCAAAAGCAGAAAAGAATATTTTAAGAAAAACTATAGGAGAAAAGGAATATATATACTCAGAGGCCATGAAATGCAATTGGGGTGGGGGGACACCATTAAACTGGTTGAGAGAAGAAACAATATCATAGAAGATATAACTCATCAACTAGAATGCACAATATTTGAATTCAGCCTTTGTTGCAGGCAGGTTCCACATCTGTTTTTGTAACTGCTGCTGTTCTGCTATCACCCTTTTCCAAATCCTAACAGGCAATATCTGAATGCTTGAATTAAAAAGACATACGGTACCCACCCTCAATATTTTACAATGCTGTCTGAAAGAGGCTAAGTTCATGTCTTACTCTGTATATTGGAAGAGAGCACAATGTTAATCTATACAGAATGGAATAAAATGTACTGAATGCCGCATTTAATCTTCAACTACCAATATTTTATTGTTTGTGTAATAAAACACTATAGCTTACTATTTGTTGTGCATGCTTTAGATTTCTTTCTGTCAGTGATTGAAAGAGCTATATACTTTTTTGCACTGCAGCCTTAAGCTGCTTGTCTCCCATGCGCAAACTAGCTAGAAATGAAGCCTGCTTAAGAAATCCCTTTCTGGAGTTCAACCCCTTTCTCTGCTTTGGTCACAGGGATAGCCAAGTGTTGTGTCTGGACTGCAGTTAACACAGCCCCTGCTTCTTTTCTGTTTCCACCTATTCTAAGAAAGCAAGTGCTAAATGCTTTGTTTCTGTGGGCATGTCTTTTGAGGACCAGTGGAAAAGTAAAAAACCACTACCGTTTTATCATTCTTCCTGTCACTTGTGCTAGAAGAGGAAACTTGGCAGAACTTTAGTAAATATAACTCTTTAAAAAAAAAAGCAGCTGAATCTGTTAGGGAAAAAAAAAAGCTGAAGCCAGCATGGCCAATGATAAAGCTGAAAGTTGTTTCTGGATGACCTAAGTTACCCACCCTTGCATTAAAACCTGTTTCAAAATTGCAGTGTATAGTGCTGCACTGTTAGTCTTGATTCTCAAAGAACATTTGATAGTGACAATATTAAACATTCCAGTCTGTTTCCGAGCTACAACCCATATGGAATGTGGTAACGTAAAAAGGAAAGATAGTTATATATCTTGTTGAGGATGAAATCATGATATGTAAGACATTTTTGCACTAAAAATACGTGATTTTTAATGTATTTCTTTTGCAAGTTAGAATTTTCAACATTCCTGAATTTTTTTTGGTTCTAATCATAACTAATTGATTCAGAATCGTACTTCCTGTTAGATAGCCTAGTAGAATGAAGAAATAACATGGAGAAATTTTAATGACAGCTGTTTAGATGTAACTGGCCATGATAGGGCTGATAGGAGTTGCAGTTCATTATCTGGAGGGCTGTATATGGCCTGTTTTAATCTCTGACAGTGATTAATGGAGTTGTAGGAAAATTTCCACATAATGGTTAACTGCCCCTCATTAGAAGATTTTTCATGTAATAGGAACAAGAAAAAGTCAACTGTTTTTATATGTTCTGGTTGTACCATGAATATTAAATAATTTTAAAATTATGTTAAATTTTAGTTGGAAAGCACTATTTTTGATTATCTTTAATTTCCTAAATTAATCTCTTTCTATAAAACATTTTCCCCTTTTTAGTACAAATATAAATGCTCAGCATGACAAATAATATTTAAAAACAATTAAAACATAACAAAATGCAATGCAAAGCAATAAAAAGACTTTTATAATAGGAGCTTAAAAATTACCAAATTAAATATCAGACAAGTCAATCTACAAATATAATTTCATAGTTAGGATGCCACAAAAAAGGAATTATCTACATAGTATCTATCAATACAATTTTATAAAACTGAGAGCTAGGTAAGAGATTTGGGGGGCAAGTGAACATTTGAATATATTTAAAATCTGTATCAGAGGTCCAATTCCAGATGCTTCATCT